GGTTGGAGAGCTGCCAGGCAGAGAAGGACCTGGGAGTGATGGTGGACAGTCGGCTGAATATGAGCCAGCAGTGTGCTCAGGTGGCCAAGAAGGCCAACGGCATCCTGGCTTGTATCAGAAACAGTGTGACCAGCAGGGCTAGGGAGGTGATCGTCCCCCTGTACTCGGCTCTGGTGAGGCCGCACCTCGAGTACTGTGTTCAGTTTTGGGCCCCTCGCTACAAGAAGGACATCGAGGTGCTTGAGCGGGTCCAGAGAAGGGCGACGAAGCTGGTGAGGGGCCTGGAGAACAAGTCCTACGAGGAGCGGCTGAAGGAGCTGGGCTTGTTCAGCCTGGAGAAAAGGAGGCTCAGGGGCGACCTTATCGCTCTCTACAGGTACCTTAAAGGAGGCTGTAGCGAGGTGGGGGTTGGCCTGTTCTCCCATGTGCCTGGTGACAGGACGAGGGGGAATGGGCTTAAGTTGCACCAGGGGAGTTTTAGGTTCGATCTTAGGAAGAACTTCTTTACTGAAAGGGTTGTTAGACATTGGAACAGGCTGCCCAGGGAGGTGGTGGAGTCACCATCCCTGGAAGTCTTCAAAAGACGTTTAGATGTGGAGCTTAGGGATATGGTTTAGTGGGGACTGTTAGTGTTAGGTCAGAGGTTGGACTCGATCATCTTGAGGTCTCTTCCAACCTAGAAATTCTGTGATTCAAAGAACAAACTTGAAAATGTTCATCTTGAAGGTAAACAGAACAGAAAATTAGAAGCTCCTGGTGAAAGAGTGGTTAAAGTAAAAATTGTTATGCAGCCACGATTTTGTGAGTTTCCTTTGCCATACCTCACTTTTTTAACCTTTATTATTTTAGCAATAATACTATAGCCAAGGCTTGAAAATACAGGTATCATTTTCACTTTTATTTGCTTATCTATTAAGGAATAATGTTTATAAAGTATAATTGGCCCTAATTAGTTACCCAAGAAGGAGAACATGATGCAAGGATTCCTGTTTATCCAGTCTGAAAAAGATAGTGTGGTAGCCTGGCTAAAGGCAAGTTAATCCCTTCAATACTAGATCAAAGCTCTATGCCTACTCAATTATTGCAAAAGCTCATAATTGGTGCAGTAGAAAGTTGCTCATCAGGACATTATTTCAAGAGATCAATACACACTTGAAAAAGGATGAAAAAAGTCATATGGAACTAAATGCTAGTGAGACTGTGTCTGTTCAGATGTTCTCCCAGAAGCAAAGATGATCTGCAAAGATGAGCTACATTAGACATTGTCATGAGCTACATTACACATTGAGAGGCTAGAGCCTCTCTTCTTTAACACCTATGCTTTTTAAATTAATAGAGCCAAATTCTATCGTCACCCATGGTCAGTGTGGGTCTGTGGTGGGTGTCAGAACAGATTCAGATTTACTGAAGAGATTTTAGTGAAGAAGGATAAAAATCCAGAGCAAACAGGTTAAATGTTTTTACTCAGATAAAATTTCCTTTTAAGAAAGAGTTGAGTAAAATCTGGCTCAAAGGTAAAAATATAGAAAAGGCAAAAGAAATTAAAGCAAGAGTATTTTATGATAAGAGTAGTTTCATGGTTTCATGGTAAAGGATTACATCAAGCAAGAACTCTTAAAGAACAATGTTTGCTATGGTGAATGGGCCGATTGAGTGAGGCTGAAGGTGTATCTTCAAAAGCAACTTAAATCTTCCAAACACTACCAGTGCTTGTTAACAAGAGGACTTGCTCTCTGCTTGTAGATTTAAGTTAATTTCTTTACTCACTCAGAAAAACAACGGATAACAGGAAGGCTAAGTACAACCTCCTCCCTAGCATGCTGAGTATATTAGAGGGCAAAAGTGGAAATTAGCTAACTGAAAGGCATAATTTCATTGGGGATGATTGAAGCAATTCAGAATATCTTACAGGGCTTTTGCTATTGCAGACAGAATGATATATTGTGAAAGGATGTCAACTGTGAATAAAATGAAAGTATAATATAGAAACAACATCACATTTGGTATTTTGGCATATCTTTTTCTTTGAGTCTTCGTGCCAGCGCTGATTAACACTATCTGCCATTATTTACCTCATAGACAGTGCTTTCATCACTGTTTTAAAAGTCTTCTCAAAGGTTATTTTGAGACAAAGCCTGCAGAACACTCTACACATGCTAGAAGAAACCCTGGTATATGCTGATCATGCCCTTCTAAATATAAACTCTGGTTTGGAGAAATGTACTGAGGCTTATTCTCACACAACAGTATGTGGACTCCTCTCTGTGACCTCCAAATGCTCGACTTTCCCTTCCTCACCACATAATAGTCAAGTAATACTAACCTTGATGGACTACATACAAATAAGAGGCTATTTTGAAGTAATAAGTGCTTTAAATTGTAAGGTTCCTAGTACAGTACTCCAGCTGGCTTGGGAGCAGAATAATTAACTCTTATATAAGATGCATACAGTCATCTTTATGAAAGCCCAACCTGTCCTCAGTGCCCATTCTCTCCTGTGAGACAGCAGCCTTGGGGGAAAAAAAAAAAAAAAAGGAACCAGATTGCTGGTAATGAGTTTCATTAATGTAGCTGCTAAAGCTACAGGAAATTATGTGGTCTTTAGATGCTCTGAGATCACCAGTGGCATCCTTTCTGTCCAGACAAGGAAAGCCCATTCACACACGTGCAACATCACCTGAGCACATGGGACAAGCCAAAGCTGGATCCTCAGATATGGGCAGAGGAAAGAAACTTCTGATTTATCTGTGGTACTGCTTGTATTTATATATAACACAGTGTTAGTGGTATACCTGCAGGAACAGAGCAAACAAAACTAGATAGTTACCATGAGCCTGTTCTTCCTCCAGAAGAGGCTGGCATGTTCAAGTCTCTCAAGTGATTCTCAGCTCTAACCAGGCCTCTCTCAAGGAGCACGGGGTGATGATCTGCTCTACTTCCCTGCGAGGCACCAGTTGAAAAACATTTTTCTCTTTTAGCCCACAGTCTAGGGTGCACAGGGATACAGCCTGGGGATACCGCTGCAGGCTTAGCACAGCAGGGCAGAACTGATCAGTTCACAGCATCATTTTACCTCTTTCCAAGGAGCCCAGGCACTGTATTCAGCATCTTCCTCCCCAACCCCAGCACTGCAAAACAGGAAGCCTCCATCCCCACAAATATCATCTGAAAACACTACAAGACAACAGTAGTAGGGAGACATTTCCAGACACTTCTCTTCACTGCAGTGAAAGCAGTGAGAGTCATCACCAATCCCCAGGCAGTCAGGTGGCCACCGGGACTGGGGCACCCTTTAACCACAAGCAAATTCCACCTGCTGCTCCCAGCCTGGGCCGCTCCCCATAGAAACACAGCCCTGGCAGGTGTTTCTTGCAAAAAGAAAGGAAAGAAAAAGAAAGGAAGCCAGGAGATACCCCGGTACTCCCTGAGGCAAGAGGGCTACATGCCTCCCTCACCTATGGGAGTCTGGTGGTTGCAGGAAAGCCAGAAAGTGCTGAATGAGCCCTGCTGCCAGGCCAGCAGTCCCCACCAGCGTGGATGCTGTTGGTGTGTAGGCACCATCTGTTGCAGCAGCTGCTGGTGGTTTTCCAACAGGCTTTGTAGCACAGCTCTAAAGCCACGTTGCTCCCAGCCACCCACCTCTCCTTACCTAACCCCGAAGAGGGAGGCTGAAGACCACAGCCACACCTGCCAGCCTAGGGCCCGTGATGGCATTCACCACTGTAAATGAAAGCAGTACTTGGGACTCGGGTGAAATGATCACCAGAGCCCCGGAGCTGAGAACCTGTAGCCGCGGTGCAGTGGGAACAGAGCAGGGGAGGAAACGCCTTCTCGCTGCCTGCCAACTGCCTCACCAGCAGGGACATCCGCGGTGATGCTGCCTTGGCACAGCACCCAGCCCATCTTGTCCTCTGCAGGGCCTCTGCAGCACACAATGGTCCCCCAGATCAGCCCCTACCAGAGGCTGGGCGGTTTTTGTTTAAACCCAAAGAGTCTTTCCCTAACCCACACTGTGCAGAGCCCACAGCCACTGGTGCCCTGCTAGCCCCAAGGAGCGTCGAGTGGGAATGTTCCTGTGTGCTGCCCATCACACGTGCCCACCTCCTTGCCCCTAAAATACAAGGACATCTGAACACATCGGGCCCATTATCTACCGAACAGGTCCCTTAGTTTAATATTTTACTCCTCCCGTTAACTTCTCAGCACTGTTCAGTTGTGTTTGTTTTTCTGGCAGGACTTCTGTGTAATTTTTATAAAGATTTTAAGTGGTGTCATCAGTCTGCCCTACTTTTGGCAGGTCTGTAAAATCAATGTTTATTCTGTAATGAAATATGCACTGAAAATCACTTTCAGTAACACATTTTTACTACTTCCTTTGTACTGTTTTTTATAAACATATTTGTGGTCACCTGTATGTTCACAAGATTTTGCATATTGTCATGATTTACTATTGAATAAAGGATTTTTATAAAAATCTTAGTACAGTGTCCTAATTACACCGCTATATTCAAGACCATCCACAAGTACTGAAAGCAAACGAAAAGGAAATACACTGAAACAGCAGACGACAATCCCATCCTCTGACTCCTACCTGAGCCTGCAAGATACTTAACTTTCTGTGCTACCTCCTTTACTTCCAACTCCTCTTTACTTCCAACCAGAAGGAGCAGTCAGGCTCTGGGTTGCCCAGGGAAGCGGTGGAGTCCCCATCCCTGGGGGTGTTCAGGGAAAGGCTGGGCATGGTGCCTGGGGACATGGCGTAGCGGTGGTAGGGTGCTGTTGGACCAGTTGACATGGGAGGGCTTTTCCGACCTTAATGATCCTACTCTATAACTCGTTACCGTACACTAATGCGCTTCCAGTGTTTTCCCCTGTATTTTTATACTCGCATTATGTAACCGTGCGGCTTGCATAACTGAAAGCTGATAAATGTAGGATTTGTCTACGGATCAACTCAGAGCAGCTACTGTCAGCCTGCTCCAGTCTCCCCACGAAGCGCACCGCTTGGAGCGCAGAGATAAGGTGGGTGCCGGCTGCGCCAGTGCCACACGCACCCTTTGCAGCCTGGGCCGTGCACGGTTGGCCTAAAATAACTTCTCCGTTCCCTGCATGACACGGTGTCACCGAGGCACCCGCTCTCGGCCAGCCCCCTCCAAGCGCACCCTGCCGAAATCCCCCCGTTCGCCAGCTGCCCCCAGCCCGGGGCATTTCCCCGCTGTGCCGTGCCCGCTGGGCGGGCTCCCCCCGCTCCCGCTGCCGCCTCCTGCCCTGCCTTTGTCCCCGGCTGGCCCGGCGGGCGCGATGCAGCACCGCGGCCACCGCCCGCCTGCGCCCCGCACCCCGAGCTGCGGAGCGGGGCCGGGCACGGCCGGGGGGGGGCCGGGGGGCTCCTCAGGGGCTTTGAGGCCGCCCCCCCGCCGGGCCAGGCGCTCTGCGGCCGCACGGCATCAATCATTAACCGCGGCTCGGGTGTCCGGCGCCTCCCTCGCCGGGAAACCGAAGCCGGGGCGGCGGGGGCCCCTCGGGCGGCTCCCCGGCAGGGCTGGCTGCGCCGCCGGGCTCCGGTTACGGCGATGCGGGGCGGCGGGGCGGGAGGAGCCGCAGCGGGGCCGCCACTGCCCGCGCTGCGATGAGTGATGCTGCCGGGGGCGGCGGCGGCGGCGGAGGAGGAGGAGGAGGAGGAGGAGGAGAAGCGCAGAGCCACCGCGGCTCCTCCGCCGGCGGCTGCGGGAGCGGCGGCTCCGCCTCGCCCGGGAGGCGGCGGCGGGGAGCGGCGGGGAGCGGGCAGGGGGCGGCCGGGGGGCCCGGGGCCGGCGGGGGCAGGCGGGGGACAGCATGCCGGCCGGAGACGGGGCCAAGGAGGAGGAGGAAGAGGGGGCGCCGCCGCCCGGCCGCCCCGCCGCCCTGCTGCGGTGGGACGAGGTGCCCGAGGACTTCGTGGAGTGCTTCATCCTCTCGGGGTACCGGCGGCTGCACTGCTCGGCGCAGGAGTGCCTGGCCTCGGTGCTGCAGCCCACCAACGAGACGCTCAACTTCTGGACCCACTTCATCCCACTGCTGCTCTTCCTCAGCCGCTTCGGGCGGCTGCTGCTGCTGCGGGGCGCCGGGGACGTGCCCTTCCACCACCCAGCCCTGCTGCCCCTCTGGTGCTATGCCTCGGGGGTGCTGCTCACCTTCGCCATGAGCTGCACGGCCCACCTCTTCAGCTGCCTCTCCCCGCGCCTCCGCGCCGCCTTCTTCTACCTGGACTACGCCTCCATCAGCTACTACGGCTTCGCCAGCACCGTGGCCTACTCCTACTACCTGCTGCCAGGCCTGAGCCTGCTGGACGCTGGCGCCATGAGCCGCTACGTGCAGCAGCAACTGGGCTGGCAGCTGGACTGCAGCCTGCCCATCGCGGCCTACCGCGCCCTGGTGCTGCCCGTGGCCCTGGCGCTGGCCGTGGGCTGCACAGCCGCCTGCTGCCGCAGCCGCGCCGCCTGCTGCGCCTACCCCTTCGCCGTGCGCACCTTTGTCTTCGCCATGCCACTGAGCATGGCCTGCCCCATCATGCTGGAGAGCCTCCTCTTCGACCTCCGCACCCGCAACCCTACGCTCTTCATCTACTTCTACCGGCGCTACTGCTGGCTGCTGGTGGCCGCCTTCTTCAACGTCAGCAAAATCCCTGAGCGGATCCAGCCGGGGCTTTTCGACATCGTGGGGCACAGCCACCAGCTTTTCCACATCTTCACCTTCCTCAGCATCTACGACCAGGTGCACTATGTGGAGGATGGGCTGGCCGAGTTCCTCAAGGCATCCCCAGCCGCTCCCACCTACTTGGGCACAGTGGGGTATATGCTGCTGCTGACGCTCTGCCTGGCTGTGGTGGTCAGGAGGTTCCTCAATGTCGCAGACCTCTGCAAGCAGGACTGATCATGCCAGTGACCACCCTACCTGCAACTCTGGGGCTGGAGACCCTTTAGCTGGTGACCTTCAGACTGGCAACCCACAGAATGGCCCAAGCGTGTCTTCAAGATGCCGTGAAACCTGGGAGAAACGCCTGTAGAAGAGCCAGGTCCCTTTTATAGAAGGTTGCTAGAGAAAATTACCATGGTGGAAATACTCATGCTCGTTAAACTACTATGTTACCAGGGGAAGCAAGCAAACGCTTACTGGTATGTTGCTGCTTAGAGTATAAGCTGAAATAATTTAGTTCTGCTACTAGGAAGAATGCATGAACTGAGAATGCCACTTACTAGTTTCATAACAATTCAGTTTAAACTAGCTATGTATATACACATACGTTTATATATATAGCTATTTATTTATTAGCTACATATATATTTGTGTATATATATACTTCTGAAGACACACTTGTGCAATGATTACTTATAGACTTTTAATCAACTCCTGTGTGAAATTTTCTAGCTGATTATGCACTGACATTTATTTTCCTCTGTGATACTGTAACAGGCCTTTGTAGCCACATACTGGATTTTAAATGCAAACAAATTAATAGCTATCAATACGTTTTAAGGTCTTGCAGCCTTTTCAGCCAGGGAACATAACGGATTTAATAGAGAGAGCAAAACCAGCTGTGAATTATTACAGAATTACCAGTTGATGGAGAGACTTTAATTAGACAGGCAGTGAAGCTTGAGTGGTTTGTGTAACCACTAGGATTCTGAAATAAAATACAGGGATATGTAAAATAACTGAACCAGAAAGGGGTCAAACTACTTTGGAGTGGAGGCAGGGGGGAGGAGAAAGGCACTGCATAATGGCACGGCTCTTCCCTCAGTGTATCAGGAACATCTGTCCCATTAAGGGGGGATTGCTAGGGGACCCTTTTATCTTCCCTGGTAAATCACCCCAAAATCAGCCCTTTAGAGTCAAAGTCAGATGCCAGACTTCCTATAAGGCCCTGCCAAGCTCGGTGGGAGTTCTGTGGATGTAAAGAGAGTAACTGATGCATGAGATCTCATTCTGGATCTTTTAAAGAATTACATGGAACTGGTTTCTTCTGCTCTTTAATTAGAGCACTCTGTCAAATTTACCATCCTAAAACTAGTTGCAGAATATGGTACTGCTGAGTATGAGTTCAGGACCTACAAGTACTGGATATGGGCACTTTAACATCATTCCCTGCTTTATCCTATTCTGATTAGTTGTGGCTACAGCTGGGTGTTTTGAAGTCCTCATTCATTAGCTTTGGTGGATTTCAAAGTGAAGAACTATGAGATATTTCCAGTCCAGGTATTATCTTTCTCACACAACAAACAGCTAATTGCAGATCAGATTTAACCTACTCTTCATATAAAGAGATTTTTTTTCTAAATTATATGCAGAATTCAAACATGCATTTTGATTCTGTCTGACAGAACAAGTAATATTACACCAGGGGATTACAACTTGAAGTTCAGGTGAGAAATCGCTTGTATACCCCATTTTCAAAAAGAAGGGTGGTACTTCCTTGGGAAACGCTGATGTCATACCACACAAACAGCATAGTGGTTCTTTAACTCAGCCTCTTTACCTATTTTGCAGAAATACGTGTCTGCTTATATCTTTCCCATTTTCATGGACATGACATCCGAACTCCCAAGTATACGTTTTGAGTCCAGTCCCAGAGTTTTCTGTATGACAAAGCCCCTTTTGTTTATAACAGGAATATAGGAAGGACTGCAGATAGGGATTATGAGGTCATGTCCTTAATATAGGTCAGAATCATTACAGAAATCAGTAATTGGCGTGTCCTGTACCAATGTCAGACTTTCCCTATGCAAGTGTATAAACTAAAAGAAAATACAGGTTTGCTTCATTTTCTCTTTTATCTCAACCCATTTTAATGATAGTGGATTGGATACTTTAGATTCTCAGTGAAAAATGAGAATGGCCTTGGAAAAATATGTATCTTTTGCCAGCCACCATTCTGCTAATAATTTGTGGTGGGGTGACATACGGTCTTGTAAAGAGATTTGGATAGAATTGTCAGAAGCAGCGTGCAAGTTGTGCACCTGTGAGTTATCACTGGTGGTCCATAAAAAATGGCATGCCCCTGTTTGGCTGTCTGTGCTGTTTTCATATGCCAGCTTGCACTGAAAGAAAATGCAAACTACGTGAAGTAGTTTTAGCTTTATATATTTACAGTAACTTTTATCAAAATTATGGCATTGCTTTATTTATCTGCCAGTAAAGCAGAAAATGATCTGCACCATAGGAGAAGAGGTTGGTTCACATCACTGTCATGCTTTGAAATGTTTTTTATATTGTGAAAAAAAAAAAAAAAAAAAGGGCAACCAAAAGACTGGAAACTCACACCAGAAAGCGAGTGGATCAAGACTTGCAACCATGTCATGCTATGAATTTCCACGACTTCATAAAGAGGCCAAAACCTGAGATATAGTGTATTCAAGTTAAAATAATAGAGACATAATAGTCAGAGCCCAATGACTCATCCAAGTTTCAAAACTAATTATTTAGAAATGCCTTGCCTGGGAGATGCCACTAGAATGTCCGACCAGCAATTAAAAACTAAGAAAGGAATTAAAAAGGACAGAGACAGCAAATTTCAGAACTAGAAGACAGCTCAGAAACAAGCAACATTAAAAAACAAATGTAAAAAAAGGCCTTTAAAGCATACTGTATAATGAATTATATTTGTGCTTGTCAGCCACAATGTAGAGGACATCTCAAGAGGCAATGTCAAAGAAGGCTGTTGCTAACTTGTAAAAATACATTTGATATTTTCGGTTAGGCCACATAGGGTCGTCTATATATATCTCAACTACAGATAACAGTATAAAGGTTGGATTGCAACCAACTGCAATTTTACTGGAATCTTATTGCTGTTACAAGAGTTGCCCGTGAGCCCCAGTCCCACTGCAGGTTTGGCACCTGGATCTGAGATTAAGAATATTGCTTCATTCAAAACATTTCTGTTGGCAAAATGTCGAGGCACGTGCGTGAGCCTGAGCACTTTGTGGAACTATTTGTACATGCTGATTGCAAGTACTCCTCTCTGAGCCACTGTAGTCAGACTGTATGTATCAGGAGTGAATGAGTGGAGGGAGATGTGATCAATTTTTAAGAGTTCTAATTAATGTATGTTTGTTTGTTTGTCTGTTTAAAATGCGTCTACAAATTAAAAGTTACAAGGAGTGTGGAGAATATATAGGGAAATGCTACTTGAGTGTGTATTTATTCAGTAAAGGACACATTATGTAGATAATTGCTCCATTTGCCATGTTCAGTAGCAAATCTCCATGAACATAGACAGAACAAAACTGAGTTAAAGAGGTTAAAAGTGGAACAAGACATCTATAATTATAGTGCTTGAATTTGCTCTTGTAGAAGTGAATGTCAGCACTTGTGTGGCTTGTCAGGGAGCAGGATCTCTTTTGGATTTGAAAACACACATGGCTGAATGTCCCTAAGCATGTCCAGAGCTCAGACAGGAGGTCTGACCCGCACACTACATGCATAAGGACATCCTAGAAAACAAACTCTTTTTGCGTAAGTACTTGTCATATTATTTTTATTGCCTGGGTACTTGCCATAAGGTCTGCACTGTGGTTAGGGAGCAGAGGACTCCACAGCTCATCTTTAAAACCAAAAAGGCTTTTCAGGGCTTTTGTGGTAGAGCCTGTGTGGGGATGAGGGCCAGGGTGGAGCACATGGGAATGGCCTGAAAACGCGTGTTTTTCTTTCTTTGGCCGACACGGACCTTCAGACTGACAGACTTGTGGCAATGTGAACAGACTGTTGATGGGGCCAGTTCCCAGAGTGCTGGTGATGCTGGTGACATGGACGCTCCCCTTTGCACATAGCATGTGCCTAGAATTGCAGTCTACACACTGGCACATACTGAATAAGCCCAGCTTCTGGGCACTTGAGAGTAACCTGTAAGCTTCAAGCACATCTTTGTGTAAGATAGATATACTATACCTGGTCTGTAGTAATTATCCCATGTTATGTGGTGGAACACCGTTTCTTCTTCTGCAATGTATTCATTTGAATGTCACTATCCAGGACACCTGCACAGCCGTGAGCTGCTTCATTGGCACGACTGGAGTCTGCAGTCTGGAAACAAAGGGAAAGTTTTCATCTGCATGCTGCACTTGTAGAAATTTAGCAGTTAGAAGTACAAACATGTTGTTTTTTTACTAAACTGATAGCTTTGCTTAGTTGTTCGAGTGTCATGTTTATTATTTATTTGCTGAATCCAGCTACTGTATGATGTTTTTGTCAACAGTGCCCCAGCAGAAAATGACAGTCTGAAAGTTTTACTCTGTGTTTAAGTAAACTCTCTGAGGCAGCACATTCATAAAGTATTATTGCACTTACTCAGTTGATTACCATCCACATGCCTTACAGAAGCAAGTCATACCTAGAGTAATTGCCCAGATTATGCTGTCTTTCTTTGTCTATGAGAGTAAAAATGACCAAGTGGCCTGTAACAAGCTGAGGAGTAAGAACTCCTGTGTTCTCATCCCTGCTTTGCCACTACCTACCTGTTCTGTGAGCTAGGGCAAGTTATTTCAACTGTGTTCATTCTGAATGAATCTAATTCATGTAAATCACTGGAATTGTACCAGGGTTGAATGTGGCCCTCAGTGTCTCAGTTTCCACATCTGTAAGATGGGGAAAATATATTTAACTACCTCGCACGGTTGCTCTGAAGACTAGCTAATGTTTGTAAAGCACTTAAAAATGCAAAGACCCTCCTAGGTGCTAAGAAGAAATATTGCTGAACTCCAACAGAGAGAATGTCATATTTTCAATGAACATGAACGTTACTAGATCATGAACTCTTGGGACAAACCCCCATCACTGTTACGCTCCTAGGAAGTTCATACCCTGTGTCCTTTGGAGTCAGTGGCAAAATTTCCACTGGCTTCAGGCAGCGGCAATCATGACTTGAAGCGGTAGTAAGCAGACTGACTAAATGCATAAGGGTCAGGAGTAGCAAGAAAATATACACGAGTTAAGTACTTTTCTCTTCAGAAATTCTCACTGATGACTTGTTCATACTGAAGGGCATCATAACCCTGACATGACGCCTTGTTGTTCTTTTAGCCAGGGGTTGTACTCCAGTTACTGCGAAACAATGGAGTGAGATTTCCCTGTCTTACACTGTCTGTAAGACTAGGATTGTGTCTCAACTACCATTGGGAATTTCAGTCAACTTCAAGCTACTTCTTAACAGAGTAAAAAGACCTTAAGTAAATCAAGCATGTAAGTCAATATGCATAATCATTCGGGAACATAAACTTACATTGATCAGAAAGATAACTTTCTCTTTCCTCCTCCTGATTCCCAAAAACAACAACATAGAAAAAATTCTGTTCTTGAGAGAAAACTGAACTTAGGTCCTCTTATCACTTATGTGTATTCTTCCTTTGCCATGGAGCCCTGACTAACCATCCTGGTAACCCATGCTGCCCTTCTCCTGGAGGGACTGAAACAAACAGCACCATTGAGTAGAGGGCAGTGTTTTTAAGAGCTTTTCTAACTGGCAACAGTACTGGAGACCAAAAATAAAAAGACAAAAAAACAAACAAACAAAAAAAAAAAACACAACCAACCCCCCCAAACAAAACCAACCAAACAAAAAAACAACCCCAACTAAGTTATCAACGGATTCAAGTGATTCATTAAGTCAAAGCCTCTAAGCATTAGAAGTTCACCCTATCCAAACATATTCCCAGCTTCTCTAACACACCTGTAAGTCAGGGCTACACAACCAACACCCAAGTTACATCTGAGAATGTAGCCTCTTCTCAGGTGAGATGTAAGATGCTGAGGAACTGTCACATGCAGTGAAAGATACAGACCTCCATTCAAGATGTTTAATGTTTTGGAGCTGGGTGTGGAATAAATTATTTTCACAACTTCCTTGGACAAATGCTGTTTCATTCCACTGAATTCAGTAATAAATTAATGACTGAGGCAGAGGAAGCAAGCTTTTACTCAAAGTTGCCTGTAAGGAAACACCAGCAGACTTCTGCTTTCAGGACAAGTGCTTCCTGGCTGACCATACTCAAGAACATGGAGGATTCTGAAGTAGTGCTTCACTGTTTTGTGTGAATGCCTAAAGATTTGTGCTTGTAGCTGGGGGCTACTAGTATGAATAAACAGTTTATAGCAAGTCATTTTTTTCTGTCTGATAGAGATTCAAGCACGCTTAAGTATGAGGTATCACATTAAAGGGTCTGTGCATGCAATGAACAAAAAGTGTGAATTTTATTTGATTCTGTTGGGAGGGGTTCAAAATTTACTCTTTGTACACTTTTGGATGCTGACGACTGTATATGTAATGACTATGCATTTTTAGCAAAAAAAAAAAAGAAAGTGTGAGCTATAAATAAAGTTGATTCTGAGTACATTTTTGTAGAAATGCATTTATAAAGTTGTTTTTTTTTTGTTTTTTTTTTTTCACTTCTTAATATATACCAGTGTGACACCTGTAGGATCTGAAATGCGTTGAACATAGTTATCTTCAAGCATAGATGTTTCTAGCTTAATTACAGGAAATTCCAACTCCTGTGTGGTGGTTTTGATATTTCTGAAAACACTATACCACAGCAAGAGTGTCATTAGCATTTTATTGCCTTTTATATTTAAAAGCAATAAAACAGCATCATGGCCTTTTTTAGCTTTCCGATATCTGTTAACCAATCCATGATAGGAATTCCTGTTACGTTAAAATTCATTACTTTTAATAGTGCAAGGAGATCAGTGTTCCGCCTGCAGTGCTCACTGAAACATCATGAAATTGGTGGCAACAACTATGTCAAGAATTACAACAAAATATTTACTGCAAAATGAAGAGTTCTATTTGGCATCAAATAAAAGTCTCCCATTTGGCAGACTAGGAATGTTCCAAGTGGGAGAGTATCATTTTCAGTCCAAGTCAGGCACCAAAAAGCACTCAATGAATTGCAATTACATAAAGTATCTACTGTAAGCCTTCTGTCTCAAAATTCAGCAAGATGTGATGAAGCCTAACATGATCACAGGCACCTGCTGATACCGTTAAAAGGCTGATACCTGATGCAGTCTTTTGCAATCTGAAGTTTAGAGGGTTTGGGGTACAGGTGCTGGCCATCCAAGTACAGAGCATTCTGAGTATTGTCTGTACAGAGCACATATACATGAGGTACTCAGCGCTTAACAGCAGCATTGGAGGTTTATGTAATTCCTTCAGAAGTTATGAAATTCTTGAAAGCTGCTCAAATAAAAAGGTTTCTTATTTGCAGATTGTTCTTCCTGTTTGAATTATGGTAGTGACTTCAAGTATTTGATGAGCACAGCAAAACTACCCACAAGTAAACAGATGCTTCAGAAGATTGCATCCTACAAATAAGCAAACACTTCAAAAAACTGCATCCGACTGTCATCATTTAAGGCCCTTCGTAATGGTAACAGGAGGCTCTGGATCTGCCTGCTGGACATGAATATGCTGGAGGAAAACCTCACAAAACTTACAGAGCCAGAATGGGAAAATACTGAGCAGGACAGAAGGCAACAAAAGTCAATACCGGTGCAGGTGATTTATTGAGTTAGCAGCCTCCAGCTGAGATTGCTCCATAGTTGCTGAGATACCAAGCTGGAAATCTGAAGGCAATCTGTATTTTGTTACTGTAACTTTTCTGACAAATGGCCCTAAAAGTCAGGACAGGGTATGTGTAGAAAAACAAAGAGAAATGTGATGCACAGCTTTAATACTCAATTTCTTTCTCTAAGTACACTTGTAGGATAATGTATAGTTAGAAGAATCTGTGAGTGAGGATGAAGCTCAAGCAGATGTTAGAGTGTGTGCAGAGGAGAAGAGAAGGCCCTGGGGACACCTTACAGCAGCCTGACAGTACCTAAAGGGGACCTACAAGAGAGCTGAGGAGGGACTCTTTTATCAGGGAGTGTAGTGACAGGACAAGAGGTAACAGGCTTAAATTAAAAGAGGGTAGATTTAGATTAGACATTAGGAAGAAACTCTTCACCATGAGGGTGGTGAGGCCCTGGCCCCAGGCTGCCCAGAGAAGCTGTGGATGCCCCATGCCTGGCAGTGCCCAAGGCCAGGCTGGATGGGATTTGGGCAGCCTGGACCAGTGGAAGTTGTCCCTGTCCTTAGCAGGGGTTGGGGCTGGGTGGTCTTTAAAGTCCCTTCCAACCCAAACCATTCTGTGATTCTGTGAACTGTTAAAAAATGAAGAAGTTGATAAAAATGAAAAGCAAATCAGTATTGATGCTAAGGCTAAATCTTGGGTTCAGTAATGAGGTTTGAGGTATGGGGTAGACACTACAGATATACTCCTCTGCATCACAAAGCTCTCTATTACAAGGCAAATTTCTTATCAAGAGTGACAGCAGATTTTTCTTACTGGGTAGCTGGAAATATGGGGTGGGTGGAAATTATCTTGCCTGGGAGCACAGCCTTTGGGTATACGATATATGCTTTACAGGAGAATAGCATCAACAATACTGCTAAGTCCTGCTGGAGGTTAAACATCCTGATAGAGTTAATTCTCTAATTTGAGTCTCTCTTACCCCCAAGGTCTATTTGTTTTGTGTCTTTCCTAAGTGACCAAAAATGAAAATAGAGTCATCCTTCATTTTTAGTGTTAAATGTACTTCTCATCTGTCTACTATCCTCCCTTTGCAAGGAAAGATTTATTCTCTGTCACTCTGTTGTCCTGAGGAACTGGGCAATGTCACGTGCACAAGAAGGAAAACTTTGATTTTTCCCTCTTCATATGCAGGGCTCTCTGCATCAACAGTCCTGAGGCTATGGAATTCAGTCACTGGCACACAGCAGTGTCCCAGAATCTTAACTGTCCATTTTAGCAGCACTTGGAAAAGCAACACTGAAATGTCAGCAGGATGGATAATAAGCAGCAATATCTGAAGCATTCAGAAATAAGATAATTAATGGCAGAAAGGTAACCGGGTCCCTGGAACAGCTTCTCTGATACCTTTGCACACACATGCATTCAATTTCTTATTATCCCAAATTCAGCAAAGCTCATAAGTACATGCTTACCTTTAATGTGCACATATGCTTATCTTTGTTCATTCACAGGGATGAACGTTTCCCTGTGTTTAAGCATGCTATAGAAGCAGAGCCCTAATGAGCAGACAGTGCCAGGGAAATGCTGCCAGCAAGAATCTGGCACAGCAAATCTGCCATTCAGCCCAAGGCAGTGTCCTACCCTCTGACACTGTGGGCTGGCCAAGCACCTCACCCAATATCCGCATTCCCTCCCCTGCCTTAGTCCTTTAAAACATTTTTGTTTCAGACCATTATCTGAAAGAATTTAATACGACACAAAGAACAAAATGCTTATGTAATAGTTAGAACTGCACTGATTTAGTCATGAAATAGAACTGCAAATTTTCCAATTGTAGCAATTAGAACAACAAAACATTGTCTCTTGCAGTCTAGTAGAAAAACCATAGCTTGGAGTTTGGAACAGTAATGCCATTTACTGAACACTATAAAATGTATTCACTAGCTAACCTGGTTGAAAAGAATATGTCTTTTTTCTGCATTAGATAGAATCAAAGATTAAACACAGAAGTCAAATACTATGTGTAGGATACTTTTGTCCTCAGCAACATGGCCTGTATTCCATTTCAATGGAATTAAGTAGGCTATATCCTTTGTTTTAAAATTCAGATGTACCGTAGACAATAACAAATAATGGGACTTAACTGAATTCAGTCAAGCACAAGGAATTTGGGGTATATGAGAATGGAAAACCTGCTCAAATGCAATATTCAAATTGTATTAGGATCACATAAAATTATGGCCAACTTCATCATTCAGCAGCCGTAACACCTCAGAGGGAATATAGAGCCATCATATGTTAGGATCTACTTCTCCTGACATGATTAGTCACCTAAAGGATGTAGTGAATGTATATAAAGAATGGAAAATAGTGTATGCCTCCATTACACTTAGGCTGGGATGAGTATTCCTATATTCAGACATCAGGCTGAACTACTTAAATAGTAAATGCGTTCAGAAAGCAACTGTTTATGAAAAAGTCTGTAAATCTGTAGTGCTCTACATACCTTGGTTGAGATTGACAGCTGTTACCAACAATACATTTTAAAAAGTCTTCCTTACTAAAGGAAAAAAAAGGGAAAAATAAATCTCATATAGTTGACAATAGTTGTTGACTTTGACTTTTCCAGCATAGTTGCTACATAGATTTACACAAAGCAAATGGTCTAGTGGACTTGCAAATATTAACAAGTAACGTAATCACTGCTTTCTCTTCTAAAAGTCACAGTGACTTTCTTCAAGCAGATTGACTAAAGCCCCGCAGTGAATCTGTCCACCTACCCTCAACACCAGTTGTGGCCCAGGGTGCAAGTCCTCTGTGGAAAGTACTAATGTTCACCTAATGGTATCAAATTCAGTTTACTGATGTTTTTAAATAACCCCAAGGAATGCTATTCATTAGCCCAATATGCACATATAGCTAATAAATATTTATGATTTTCAGGCTATGGAAGGGTCATAATTTCTAGCTTCAGTGTCAGGGCAGAACTGCCAGCTGTGCCCCAGACATGAGTGACTTCCAGCTTATTACTCAACATTAAGCACTCTTTGTTTTAAAAACCAGTTCAATCACCCAATATCTCCTGAATGAAACAACCTACAACAACAGGCTAGTAAATGAAGTCTCTAGGGTGAAAACCTCTCATGTGTACTGGAACAGATTAGCGGTAGTGAGGTTCCGTTCACGAGTGATTCATAAGCTAAACTCACAGAGCACCAACCTCAATTCTCTTCCCCTTGCATGCTGTCTGAAAGGTACAGACAGGCTGGAGAATAATTCTGACTGGTAAAAAGCCCGCTTATTCCCTGATCACATCACTCCAGTACTGGCAGAGAGGATGCAGCAGGAATGCAGAGCGGCACAGCACATCTCCATGCTGCGCTAGTCCACCTATGGCACACAGCCCCCCGTGATCCCGCAGTGGCTGCCCCCACACACAATTCAAAGCAGTCTGAGAGCCAGGCAGGTACAGCCCTGCCTGCCTGCTGTGCCAAGTGCTCCTCAGAACAGGGATTCGGGCCTGCTCTTCAGAATAAAGTTTTGCAACATTGGTCTGTGCCCACTGGACCTGTGGAGCACACCAAAGTCAAACAGCAGGAGTTTCCTAACCAGAACTGAGTCTTGCTCAGTTTTAAGAAAACAAACCTTAATATTCAAAGTCAGCCGCCGGCTCTCTGTAACCTCAGAGTTTGATCGAATCCTCATATTTCACAAGCCTGAAATTAAAATAAATAAATAAATAAATAAATAAATGATGTACAAATACATTGCAAAATGTCAGCTAGTTCAGATCTGTTACCTGCCCCACTCCCCACACAACGCTGAGCAGTGCCGGGTGTGAGGGCTGGGCGCAGCGCCGCGCTGCCTGTTGGGCCGGCCAGGCTGCAGGGGGCTGAGGGCTCGGCAGCGGAGCCGCCAGGAGGAGCGCGCAGACCGCTCCCTGGGTGCAGGGATGCCCCTCCAGCCGGGCCAGGGTGACGCTGCAGGGCTCCAGCAAGGACACACATTTTCCATGGTAGCTAGCCGCTGTATTTCTCATTTGCAGTGCGCAGAGGAGAGCAGAGGAGCACTCATCAGGCCCCTCCGCCCAGCCCCGGCTCCCCTGGAGGCTGCACAGCTGGCAACAGCGCTGCCCTTCGGGGCTCCCCAGCTGCAAAGCTCTGCTACCCCAGGGCTTATTCGGTAGGGATACCCTGTCCCTGTAATACTTTCGGGGAGAAGCTGGCACAGCCAGCCTGACAGTCTGGCAAAAATAATGGTTTAGAGGCAGCTGCTTGCTGATATAATCCCATATGAAAAGAAAAAATGTTTTGGAGGGGATGACGCTGCCCTCTTAGGCATTCCTGGAACTGAAACTGAGAGTGAGTCAGTCAGAGCAGAAGTGAGTGTCTTGCCATGTTGACTTTTTATTTAAACAAAACAAAACAAAACAAAACAAAACAAAAGTTGATTTGTTCTGTTTCCTTTACCATATACATACAACAGCGGCAATGGATTACCATGCCTGTTAGATTCACATATCAGCTGAACATTCACATGATAAACAAGCAAAGAAACGAACAATGTGACAGGTCAAAAAAAAAAATCTGGAAGTATCTCCTTGTGCAGGATTTCAGCCTTCAGGAAATGGAAGGTTGTGAGTGAGGTTGGGCATTAGAGAGCCATCAGTTCAGAAATGGCTCCTTCCTGGCCCTGAGCTTTCTGTGAGGACTTCTCAGGACAACCTTCGGACAAGCAAGTGTATATATTTCTTGCTACAGTTTTCAACAGAGCAGTATCAACACCTAAAACATAAAGTACTTTCTGAAATACTGCAGCTCTCATTTTGGCTCTATCCTTGAAATATCAATTAAAGAATTGTAACAGTGCTGTGATTCAATTCCTGCTCTGTAGCTAGCCTGTTAGCCTCCTCCTTGGACTGCAGCATGCGCATATTGCTGCCTGCTCCTATTGAGCTGTTGGATGGGCTGTTCTGTTAACAAACAGAGCTGGCACTCATCTTTCATGGTCAGTGACAGACGTGGGGATTAGCTTGTTGTGACCTTTGAGCTCTTCTGGAGAGCTCTGGTTCATTTCGGTCAGTGACACCTTGCTCCTAACCTGCATTCTAGGATCACAGGGCACCTCTGAGACAGATGTGCCCACTCCTCTTCCTCCGAATAAGCCTATTCTGGGCACAGGCACAAGCCAGAGCCACCCTGAGTCTACCAGATGATCTCCACGGCTCTTGATGAAGCTGGGATATGAGGGAGCCTGGCCCACTCATTTAACACCAACATACAGGAAAGAGTTTTACAGAGTGACTGCAGTGCGAGCTGCCCACTGACCCCTACACCTTGTGCTGACACAAGCACGCAGTGCAGCAGGCCCACTGCATGAATGCAGATCTAGCATCTCAACAAATTGTTTCTGAATTTCTTTACTATGCTATTTTCTTCCTTTCAAAACTGTTTTTCTCAGCCATTTATTTCTTCACACTTCCTAGCCCAGTTTCACTAGGTCATCACCTCCTCTTCACAAGTTTGAAGCCCAGAGCTGCATCTCCTTAGTCCTGGTTCCTTCAGGACAGGCCAAGCCCTGACAGCTGCCCTGAATGTGGGCAGGAGGTCTCCAAGAAAAAAGCACTGGAGCAGACGGTGAGACTGTCTGTACCATACACGGGGTGCTTCTCCCTGGGTCAGAGCACATACAGTGACCTGCCTGTACCTTGTTAGCACCGTGTAGCTGTATGAGTTGCTGTCATGCAGATAGGCCATACAGCTGCCTTCCTAACTGCCCAAGACCTTTTGGGACCTATCTGGGATGTTTCACATGAATAAATAGCACTATCCCTGCTATCCTATTGCATCCTATCCTTATAGAAATTTGTTAGAAGAATAGAAATGATCAGATTTCTTGGGACAGCCTACCTGATAGTCTTCTCTTCCTGTCTTATACCTCTTGTATCAGCACCAGACGAGAACAAATGACTCTGTATCCCATGCAATGACATGCAGTCATGACAGTATGTTCAGCTGAATCCTATGGTAACATAATCAATTTATTCTGGCATCCCACTGAAAACTGAATATACTGATATTCTCATGCAGTCTGTCTATTAGGTAAAGATTTCCTGGGTGTTTCAGAAACCATGCATAAAGTAAGCCTACACATAACCTATCTACATACAAAATATCTTTGGGAGGAAAATTCTAGACTCTGAAAAATTTGCGTTGATAATAGAATGATTTATTGTATTTTCTCATTGGATTTTATTCTTAGGATCTCAGTCATCATTCCTTTGTCAACAGATTTTGCATATCTCAACATGACTGATAGACTTGCAAGTCTGATCAATGAGAATGTGCAGGCCTGGCTATATTTTCTGATAATAACTGTAAGGACTTACTGTCAACTAAGAGTCTGAGAAATGTTCTGGACTACAAAACCCATCTTTTATGCTCAGTGTCAGACATAAGAGGATTCTAATAATAGAAGCTCCACAATCTGTCCAGCTATTCCCGCTGTGGATCTGCCACAGGAAGTATCTCATTAGATTATAGCTAATGCAGTAAACAGTGACTTAATGCCATAATCGGCGATGCTAGTGACATGGTAAGAACAGAAGAGTTTCACATACTGGATAGTTTTCTCATCTACAAGGATCTTCTAGAGGATTTAGCATGGTGAGTTGCAGTAAAATATTTACAATTACTCTTACATGAATTATCACAGCATGCACTGAACTCTGGAGTTTTCATAAGGCCCTTTCTAAGTAGGAAGGATGACCATCAGCATCGTTATGTCTTGAATTTCAGACTTTATTTATGACCGTGTTTTCAAAGATTTTTTATTTTTTTACTTTTTTAATGGTGGGGACATAATGGGGGAAATAATGGGCAAAATAGGAATGTAACTTTCCAAACATTGTCCCTTATCTCAAACAATTTTGTTGGAAATTCCCACATTCCCTTAACTTATTTTCATGCAGAGATCTAGTTTCAGAAATATCATTTGATTTGGGACTAGCTTTTAAAATAAAATAAAATAATATAATATAAAATAAATAAAATAAAAACAAATTAAAAAGACTTTTATGAGAAGCTACTGCTCAGCTTTCATTACCGTGGGTAATATTTGAGACTAATTCACTAGTCCAGCTGGCATTACACTGCAATGTGATACTCATTTGAATAGTTATCTTGAGTCTACACAGAATTTGTGTGACACCACAGATTTACAGGAGGAAAAAGAAAAGTTGGTGCCAAAGCTTCAAGGCTCTCTGAGCTATATGCAAAACCTTCACACAACCATATCCTGCAGCTGTATCTCCATAGCCCTCATGCTTTCAGCTGCACAGCCCCCCAGTGCAGCCTTAAATCCTCTCTCACCAGGCATGCTGAGGCAATGACAGGGGTGAAGCCAGCACCCTGTGCCCAAGGCCCCCAGTCAGGAGGAGAGCTGCACAGAACTAGGATGCCATGGTCAGAAACCTGTATCAGAAACCCAGAGACAAGCAGCTACAAACCCAACCAGAAACAGGGATTTAATATTGGAACAGCTGCCAGGCACAGACCAGGGTCAGGATCACACCGTATCTTGAGCAAAGAAGTGGGGCTACAACCAGGTCAAAGCACTCAGAAACTCAGAAAATCCTGCATACCTGTGAAGAGTTTTACATCTGCACCACCTGCACTATCAGAGACCTGGGCCAGGACAGGAGTTTGTTTCCTCTGAGCCCTTGGCCAGTGACAACCAGTCTGAAGGATGCCTTACTGGCTTCAGTCAGGCAGTGCCTCACTGTGCTCATTTCCCAGGACCGTGCGCCCTCATCTCCTCACCCAGAAGTGTTTCCTGTCTGGGGTCAATTTGGTGGAAACTGCTATGGAATACCCAGCAGAGCAGTGAGAGGATTTAGTGGGTTTACGTGGCAAGGTTTTGGTAGCAGGGAGCCATAGGGGTGGTTTCTGTGAGAAGGATCTAGAAGCTGCCCCATGTTTGGGAAGGGCCCCATTGTTTTCCAGAGCTGAGCCAATAAGCGATGTTGTTTTGCGCCTCTGTGAGAGCATATTTAAGACAGGGAAAAAAAAAAAACGCTGCGCCACACAGCAGCCGGGAGAGTGAGAGGAGTGAGGAACGGCCTTGCAGGCGCCAAGGTCAGTGTAGAAGGAGGGGGAGAGGTGCTCCAGGCGCCGGAGCAGAAGTCCCCTGCGGCCTGTGGTGAGGCCCATGGTGAAGCAGGATGTCCCCCTGCAGCCCATGGAGTACCACGGTGGAGCAGGGTTCCATGCTGCAGCCCCTGGAGGAGACCACGGTGGAGCAGGTGGCCCTGCACCGATGGAGGGTGCCGCCTGTGGAAGACCCCTGCTGGAGCAGATTCCGGGCCGGACCTGTAGCCCGTGGAGAGGAGACCACGCACGAGCAGGTGACCTGGCAGGAGCTGCTGCCCTTGGGGGACCCAGGTTGGAGCAGTTTTCTCCTGAGGGATGGACCCCGTGGTACGGACCCATATCTGGAGCAGTTCTGGAAGAGCTGCTGCCTGTGGGAAGCCCACGCCAGATCAGTTCATCAAGGACTGTATCCCGTGGGAGGGACCCCACAGCACAGGGGACGAGAGTGACCGAGAAGGAGCGGCAGAGAAGAAGTGCTGTAGACTGACCATAACCCCCATTCCCCCGTTCCCCTGCGCCGCTTGGGGGGAGGAGGTGGAAGAGGGTGGATGGAGGGGGGAAGGTGCTTTTGGTTTCTTTCCTTTGTTTCTCACTTCTCTAGCTTGTTAGTAATGAGCAATAAATCTTACTATCTGTCTTCTTATGCTGAGTCTGTTTTGCCCGTTACAATAATTATTGTGTGATTTTCTCATCCTTGTCTCAACCTTTGAGCCCTTTTCACATATTTTCTCCCCATTCCTCTTTGAGGAGAGGGAGTGAGAGAGCGGCTGTGGTGGAGCTCGGCTGCCCACTCGAGCGGAACCATGACAGAGGACCAGAGAAATGCTGCTTCCTCTAAAAATATACACATCTCTTACAGTTGTTCACTGCTTTTCTGTATGTATTGCAGTGTCTGAGATAAGGTTTTTCCACATTCCAGATTGCTAAAGTAAACTACACCATATTCAGAGTATATGTATACAGCTGAGCCTCCATTTCTTATCTGTAAAGCAGGTTAAATTGTGCACTCCTGCTTCAAGGGATTTAGTAAAGTAATGGAGAGGCATTGGAGCATATTTGAAAGACACTAGTTGGAGTTATGTGCAAACTTCACACTGCATTTCAGTAAAAATGTGGTGCTGGAAAGATGTGTTATCATCTAGTTTTATGACCACTGCAATTGCTTCAGTCTCTGACAGAATATGTGATTACTTACTAGAGAAAAGGGCCTGAGATGCTGACCTGTGATACACAGGATAGATGCCAGCAGATTCAGTAATTTTGCATTTCCTTGCTATGACTTTAGAAATACTAACACTTTTTTATTTGCTTTAATAATCCAAGTTTTGTTCATCTTTAGCTCAGAATCTAGGTAAATTTGTTCCTATACTCTCCAAGCTGTTTTACCCAGTTGAAATATTTCCACAATGTTTT